CAGCTCCGCGCGCGCGCGGGGTGCATCTAAAAAAATCCGATAGCAGAGCTCGACGTGCTCGACGTCCAGGCGCTCCGCCTTCGCGCGACGCGCGGCCGTCGCCGCGTACGTGAGCAAGTTCAGCGCGTAGCGCAAACTCGAGTCAGCCGCGATCGACACCAGCAGCTCGAGCGCGGCGGACTCACATCGAGCCTCTTCAAGCTGCGCCCGCTGCTGCAAAACGCCGCGCAACTCTTCGCGACCCAGCGGCTGCGTGGAGATGGCGAGCAGCCGATCGAGGAAGTCCGGCGGAATGCCGTGCAGGAACCGCAACGAAGTGCCGCGCAGCGGGCACACGCCCTTGTTGCTCGCGAGAATCAGCAGCGGCGCGTAGGGCGTGTCCAACACGCGGTTTAAAAACGCGAAGCACGACACGTCGAGCAAATGGCACTCGTCGATGAACAACACGCCGAGCTCCAAACTCGCCTTCGTTTCAAGCACCCACTCCTCGACCTTCGCGTCGACCTTTTGGCGCACCTCGTGCGAGACCTCGCCGGTGTTGCCGTCGAATAACGCGATGAAGCCTTCGGGCCGGCTGTTCACGATGTCGATGTCGTGAAGCGTCACGCGATGCTCCGTTTCGACGGAGCGTTGCAGTTCACCGCTCGGGACTTCGACGAACTGCTCGTCTCCCGCGAAAGCGTCGTACTCAGCGCAGCGCGCGACCGAGCGGCCGAGCCGCGTGACGGTGCCGTTCTGGCGGTCGAGCCGAATTACGTCGCCGGCTATGATGTTCTTGCGCTCCATTAGCGCAAGCAACTTGGGACCAAGGCAGTACAGCGACTCCATGTCTTTCGTGCGCAGTACGACTGTGCCGGACTTCGCGCCGTCTGCAGCGACGCTCGTGACAATTTCGCTGATCTCGCCCTCGATAACCTCGCGCTCTTCGCGGACGGTCACCGAGACGGCTCGTCGCATCGCCTGCGTCAGTACCTCGGCCGGCTTCACATCGGGGCTGTACACCTCGCTCGCAGAGATGGGCACAAATGGCACGTCCGCGCCGAGCTCCTTCGCAATCGCGTACGCTAGCGCCGTCTTGCCGGAACCGACAGCGCCCGCGATCAACACCGCGCGGTTGAACGATTTGTTCGACTTCAGCAAGTCGAGCACCACACGCGCCGCCTTGCGTGCCTTGTGCTGGCCTATCAAGCCGCACGCGTCGTCGCAGCCCGCGTCCAGCGCTTCGTCTACGCACACTTTCGCGCAGCCCAGCCCGGAAATGTGCTGGTGCGCGCCCTTGCGATTCCCGCAGAGTCGAGCTGCTTTGACCTCGTTGAGTGCCTGCATGCTAGACTCGCTTTCTGCGCAGATAGACTTAGCCCGCGATTTTCAGCTAAATATTTTGCGTTGACAAATTAGGATAAGGCTTTATGCCAGGCGCGCGCCGCTAGCGCCGAGCGCTTACAGCGGCAGAAAACTCTCGTTGCGAAATCGGCTGATGACGTACTCTTTCAGCATCGAGATCAACTTGAGCCCACCCGGGAAGTAGCTCATGATGAACAGCCCCAGCGAGCCGATCTGGAACGCCGCAAACATCAGCGTCAAAAAGTAGCTGTGCGCGGAGAGTGTCGAGTAGAAGACGCCCGCCAACGAGAAGCCGTACGCCACTGCAAACGGCAGCCGCTCGCGCTGCAGCATCGCCTTCAACAAGTGTCGGTAGCCTTGCAAAACGCCGAGCCCGACAATCCAACACAAACAACCCAATGTGAACAGCAGCGTGAACTTCTGCGGCGCAATTACGACCATCGGCAAAAACAAGAACGACATCACGAAGAACAAACAGCCGAGCATGAAACAGATGGCAAAGTTCAGCAGCGTTCTGTAGTTCAGACTCATCAAAGACATCGAAGACTTTGCGTTGTTGGCATTTTCGCCAAACACCACGCGCCGGGCGCTAGAGTAGCCGCTGCCGATCGCGGACGACAAGCTGTCGAGCACTGTGCTGTTTCCGTCTTTCGAGTACTCAACGCCGCCTGTAATCGCGCAGCGAAAAACGTACCTCCCAGGTTAATCGTCGGGTAAGCGTAGGGGTCTCCCGCGCTCATCATACCCGCGTCTGCTTGCTGCCGTTCAGTTTAAATAATTAATTTACAGCGAGATTTAAACCGCGTAGCGCACCTCCGACGAGCACAGCGGCGGTTGCGGAAAACTCTTCGAACGCGCATTTTTTACATAAATTGAATGAGCGACGCGCCGCGGACCGACAACGACGTGGCGCCGCTGCACAGCTTATTTGCAGTGCGGCAACTTGAGCGCGACAACCTTCGATTGCGCGAAGAAGTCCGCAGGCTCAGAGCAGTGAACAACGCGAGCAAGGCTCGGCACATGCAGCTCTCGGAGCTTTGCGGAAGCGTGCAAGCGTTGCAAGCGAAACTGGACGAGCAAGAACAGTACGCCGAAGCTCTGAACACACTGGTGCTCGCACACGAGCGCTTCCTGGCGCAGCACAGCGGGCAGCCGCGCAAACGCAGCGGAGCAACAGACAACCGCGAGTTCCTGCTCGCGCTAAACAATCGCGAAAGCAAACAGCAGTTTGCCGCCAATACTCTGCTCCTCGAGCTGCTCGCGCATTCGCAGCAAACGATTGCGCGACTGCAGGAGCAGCGACTGCGAGGTGCTACACGCCGCTGCGTCTCCGCCGATGAAGCATACTCGCTCGAGCTTCAGCTGCTAGAGTTCGAGGAGTGGCTGCCGCGACTACCCGCTGCGCTGCGCGAAAGCGCAAACGCGGCGACCGACAGCGAGTTCAGCATGCTGCGTTACCTGGAGCTCACGGAGCGGGCAGCGCAACTGCTGCACAGCTGCTCGTGCTGCTGCGTCAAGGCGCCGGTGAGCGAGAGTCCACTCGCTGAACGCGCGGCAGCGCAATAGCCGCGGGGTGGCACAGTGGCTCCGCAGTGAAACCGGTATCGCAACGACTGTGGCGCAGGCGCGAGCCGAGCTAAGAAGGCTCGGCGAGCTTGACTTTCTTGCCGCGCGTGATATCGCCCCAGCCGATCAGCCGCCAGTTCTTATCGATGCGGCGCGAGATCGCGATTTTGTAGCCAATTCTGCTGCAAACGGGCGAGTTGAAGACGAATTTGCAGACGTCGGACTTGACGCTCGCGACGCGCGCGCCGACACTGGTGCTTCCGACGTTTATCATCAGATACTCGTTTTTGACGAGCGACTTCACCGTGTTGTAGCGCGCCTCTTCGCCGGCGCGTCGCTTAACTTTCATGCCAATCAGTCGGCGCATCAAGAAATACTGCACCTCGACGGCTTCGTAGACGTCCGGCATCGAGCCCGGCACGCCGAGCACCATGCCGACGATGCCGTCGGAGCGCGTGAGCGACGGGTCGATGTTCGTGCCGACACCGATCAACCCTCCGGGCACTGCGAACTCGAGAGCGTTGTTCTCCGCAAAGAGGCTGACGATCTTGCTACGCAGAGGGCGCACGTAGAAAGAGTCGTCTTCGTTTCGCTTGATGAAGCCGGGCCGCAACTCTACCTCGTCGCCGAGCTTGAACACGCCCTTTAAAATGCTGCCGCCGGCGACGCCGCCGACCATGTCGTAGATGCTGTCGGCCGGCTTGTTTACGTCGAAAGAACGGATGATCATCATCTCCGGGCTGCCGGTGAAGTCGCGCAGCGGCACCGGGATTTGCTCGCAGAGGTACTGCACGATGACGTCCATGTTGTACTTGAGAATTGCGCTGATGGGAACTACAGGGCTTTTCTCCGCAACGGTGCCCTTGATGAAGTCTTGGATTTGCTCGTAGTGTTCTTGGCACTGCTCTTCTTTAACCAACTCGACTTTGTTCTGCAGAATGATCAAATGCTTGAGCTTCATGATCTCAACGGCGGCCAAGTGCTCGCAGGTTTGCGGCTGCGGGCAGAACTCGTTGCCCGCGATGAGCAGCAGCGCAGCGTCCATAACGGCGGTACCGTTGAGCATAGTCGCCATCAAGATGTCGTGGCCGGGGCAGTCGACGAAGCTAATGTGGCGCACGAGCTCGGCGGTGCCGTTGCAGCCGGGAGCGTTGCACGGGATGCGGTCGGGGTGCTCGCTGCCGCGGCTCGAATAGCACTCGGGCGGCTTGCAGTCTTTGTTGGTGCAGCGGTAGAGTTTCGCGTTCGCGTACCCGAGCTTAATGGTGATGTTTCGTTCTTTCTCATTCTTGAAGCGAATTGTCTGCACGCCTGACAGCGCTCGCACCACAGTGGACTTGCCGTGCGCGACGTGGCCGATGGTTCCGATGTTGATGGTAGCCTGTCTCGACATTACCGCAAGAGTGGTCGGCGTGAGCGTCGCGAAGTCCACCGGACACTGCGGCGCAGTCCCTGTCGAGTCAACCTGTTTGAAAGGCTGTTCGTTCATTACCGAGGGAAATTATTATTAAGGCAAAATCGCGGCATAATTAAATTGCCACTGCAGCCGTGCACGGCAAAACTGCCGCGTCGGCCGTTTCGACAGACGCAGCAGCGCGTGGAACTGTGTCCGGGCACGTCCTAGCGGATCAGCAGCTTGATCGACAGAGGCGGCGCGCGGCTCGCGGCACTGCAGCGCGAAAACAGGTCGATTAGTACTTGGCCAGCTGGCTCGCCAATAGGCTATCCATCATCCTATCTATTTGGCAAGTCTGCTGCTGTGGCGCTGCCTCAAGCAGTTGTTTACACTACCGCCACTGACGCTTCAGCGAGCGCTTGCTGCGTCTGCGTGCAAGGTTAGGCCGCGACGCCGCCGTTCGTCTGCGCGGAGGGCTGCTCGCGGCGCCCGCTCGCGCATTCACGGCAACTGCAGCGCGCAGACTCTGCAAGCCCGCGCGCAGCGGCCTCGACATGCAGCAGCGAGTGCTGTAGCACTTCAGGCTCGAGCTCGCAGCCGGTTGACTCAAAAAACAAAATGGCTTTGGACGTCGGGTCCAGCGCGACCAGCAGCACGTTGCAGTCGGCGCGCCGCCGCGCGGCCTGCAGCTCGTCGCAGCTTGGGAACACGCTGCGGTTCCACTTGCCACTCGCGCCGTCGCACGCCGTGAGGCAGACGACGCCAAACGCCGCGCCGCCGCTCGTAGGCACGTGCGACAAACAGAGCAGCAGCGAAGTGGTCGTGAACGCCGCGGCGCGCAACAGCGCAG